TTATATAAACATATATAAATAAATACGTGCTACACTCACCAGAAGCACAGTGTAGAGGTCTTTCAGTTACAAGAGAAAGCAATTCATTCACAGAAATCTAATAGCTATATGGTGTTGATCAATTTGTGGGAGTTTATAAAGTAGGCTTAATCTTCCTTATATCTGGAAATCATTTTGTTTCCACGAGTATTCCTCTCTTTTTTTGCCCACTACCGGTTGGTAAGCGATAAACTTGAGAGTTTATAGCGGTAAAATTGTGGGTTTGATCCTCACGGTAGCCACACATCAATGAGCATCTTTGTTTTTAACATTAAAGAAGATAAATTAGTTTGAGATTTTATTTCATGTTACTAAGCAACTCAGCATTTTAAAGAGGGCGTTTTAAATTCGTATTTTACAAATATGTTTATTTTTATTGTAAATATATATATATATATATATATAGAATAGTTCATCATTTGCGTAAAGGCACCCTATGTTTCATTATTCAAACTATAATATATTTTGAAAGCAAATCATTATGTCGGTGTCTTATTTTCTGTTACCATTCTACGTTTTACGCTTGTGTGAATTTTCTTGGTGCTTCATGAGAACACCTTCACGTCCACACATTGTAGAAATTTCTTTGAAAGTGATTTCTATTGGCAAGACCAGCATGTGACTAATTAGTTTGTCAAAGAACCCAAGTCTTTCATCCCAAGTTCTCTTCACCATGCCCGATGAAGCAGAACTTGGGCAAACAGGGCGATAGTGTAAAGAACTTTATTCGAGCGCTGGAGATAAACTCAAAAGCGCGCAGTCAGCAACCGACGTAAACCCAGGCATTTTACTAATGTAATTTAGGCTTAGTACAAACGTGGAGTACAAGAAATAAAAATTGCTGCGTTATTCCAAAATGGTTTCTTTTGACGAGCGATTTTTAAAGATTTTAAAGAATCTTTTACAACGAATCCCCTGGTACTTGCTTTCTCATCCTTTCAATACCTGTATTTACTGCCTATAGAATCACGAATGTAAAGTACAAATCCAGTCTTTGTGAGCAGTTAAATAATACGTATTCTATTTTCTTAGGGGTTTTCAGCACTATTCACATTCTTTCTTCGTAAATTATTAACACCTATTACATTACTAACACCCTCGGTGGCTCAGCGTCATGTGTGAGGGGTTACAAAGTTAAAAATCTGGTTTCGATACCCGCGGTTAACAACAAACAATAACGATAAACTATTACCATAACGGTACTTGCACCACTATTATCGCAAGCTATTAGCTTTTTTTTATACTCGCGAATTATTAACAATACCCAAATTATTTACTCGCGAATTATTAACAATACCTAAATTATTTACTCGCGAATTATTAACAATACCTAAATTATTTGCTCGCGAATTATTAACAATACTTAAATTATTTACTCGCGAATTATTAACAATACCCAAATTATTTACTCGCGAATTATTAACAATACCTAAATTATTTGCTCGCGAATTATTAACAATACTTAAATTATTTGCTCGCGAATTATTAACAATACCCAAATTATTTACTCGCGAATTATTAACAATACCTAAATTATTTGCTCGCGAATTATTAACAATACTTAAATTATTTACTCGCGAATTATTAACAATACCCAAATTATTTGCTCGCGAATTATTAACAATACCTAAATTATTTACTCGCGAATTATCAACAATACCTAAATTATTTACTCGCGAATTATTAACACATTCTTTTCCTCGAGGGTCATGACATTTAATGATATTAACCATACGGAAAAGTCCTTTAGAAAAATGGTTTGTATTTCTTTCTAGACCAAAGTTACACTACGCAATCTACTGTGTCTACCTCGAGGAATCGAACCCCGGATATTAGCGATTAATAGAATCCTGCAGATTTATATAGAAACAGTATACAGTTCTTTGTCTCTATAGGGATAATCAGAAAAACGTCTATAGAAATTGACAGAAGTTCTTAGAATTGAAAATAATTCCAATGGCTCTATAGAAATCCTAGTGGATAAACTATATATATGTCCTAAATATTCAGACTTGTAGAATATGCTTCCTTAGTAATTCCATAATGCGTATCATGAGTTTATTTTTAGTTTCGGGGCTTGATGACACGTGCTCGTACACGTGTTTTTACGGAATAAGCACGTACTTGAATAGTTCTATACGCATGGTGTTTACTGTACTCTGTAAACACACGTTATTTACCTGGTACGGTCTTTGTCGAGTTTATAAAATAATCAACGGTTATGAACCACATGGATAATAATAGTCAACATTAACTCCGTATGTTTCAATAATAATAATCCCTGTAGACCCCTACTGGAGCATAGGGCCTCCAACAACACCTCGCCGACGGAAGTTGTTGTTGTTGCAGTAATTTTTTAGCAGGTTGGTCTTTAAGGGGCGGAGTTGCTAGCCCCGCGCCCAACCCTCCTTCTTTCTCATACTGGACGTGGGACCAGGCAATGGTGGTGGCATCCCTGCCGGGGAACGAACCCGGTACCTTTGGATTAGAAACCCACTGCGCTATAGGGACACTCCATGTGTTTCAAATAGCATTGAAAACTTGGAAGTGTAAATAATATTCTCCTGGGAAGGTAATTAATATTATTGTATCGCTTGTTCTCATAGATTTGCTAAATATTGGTGAGCTATGTGTGGTACCTTTTTCCAAATGATTTTGGTACCAAGAAAATATATTGTTACTATGTGTAACGTAAACTTTTTTGTTTCTGTTTTATCTGTTACGTAATTTTTTGTTTCTGATTTGTTTGAGGTTAAGCACAAAGCTCTGCCCACCACGGGTATCGAAGCCCGGTTTCTAGCGTTGTAAGCCCGCAGATATACCGCTGTACAACTGGGGTGGGGGCTATGAAAACTTAGAAATTATGACCCCATCTTTATATTACATCAAGGCAATTCGACATAATTTTATAGTGTACAGTGTACAGTTTGTGTATCTCGTTTGGAACGATAAGTAATATTGTGAAGATAACTTACATTTTCTTCCTTGCCTGGCTGCAGACCGGCAGCTGCCATGTAAGTGCTTCCAATCGTCTTTATCTTCTCCACACAGCTGAACTTGGGCTTCGACAGAAGCTAAATAACAACGCACTAAAATCAAGCTGGGCTAATTAACAGTCATTCACGTAATCAATTCAAATATTAATTGCGTCTAATTAAATTTCCATTTCATTTCCTGGCGAATTTAACTCGCGGATCGATGTGTTTATCCACAAACTTGTGCAATAATTTTCATCCAACCCCCCCCCCCCCAAAAAAAACCTCCCACATACACACACACAAAAACACATGTAAAATTTAAATTAATCCACATTTTATAACTGTATATTATATATAAAAAGGATCATTGCTTAATGCTCCTTATACACATTTAAGAAGATTCAAATAAACAAAAGAGAAAAAAAGCAGTGAACAACGCGTGAGTTCAAGATGATCATTCATTTACCAGAACGATCCTCTATCACAAAGACAGGTTTGAAAATCATCGCTAGAACTGCCAGGAGTAAGAGACCAAAATAAGCAGAAGTTTGCTGTTTTTAAACATATTAAATGATTATCAAAATCACATTTTTTGGAAACTGTTTACTGTAACAAAGATCCAAGACAACTTACCTTGTCAAAATCTCAGATGATCTGAGAGGCCTTATATAACTTGCCTATCAAAATCATGGAAGACCTGAGAGGCCTTATATAACTTGCCTATCAAAATCATGGAAGATCTGAGAGGCCTTATATAACTTGCCTATCAAAATCATGGAAGACCTGAAAGATCCGAGACAACTTACCTTGTCAAAATCACAGATGATCGGAGAGGCCTTATATAACTTGCCTATCAAAATCATGGAAGATCTGAGAGGCCTTATATAACTTGCCTATCAAAATCATGGAAGATCTGATAGATCCGAGACAACATACCTTGTCAAAAGCTCAGATGATCTGAGAGGCCTTATATAACTTGCCTATCAAAATCATGGAAGACCTGAGAGGCCTTATATAACTTGCCTATCAAAATCATGGAAGATCTGATAGATCCGAGACAACTTACCTTGTCCAAAGCTCAGATGATCTGAGAGGCCTTATATAACTTGCCTATCAAAATCATGGAAGATCTGATAGATCCGAGATAACTTACCTTGTCAAAATCACAGATGATCTGAGAGGCCTTATATAACTTGCCTATCAAAATCATGGAAGATCTGATAGATCCGAGACAACTTACCTTGTCAAAAGCTCAGATGATCTGAGAGGCCTTATATAACTTGCCTATCAAAATCATGGAAGACCTGAAAGATCCGAGACAACTTACCTTGTCAAAATCACAGATGATCTCGTTCAGGAGACGCAGACATTCCAGGCCTTGTTTATTGATGTCTGTCTCGTCGTAGAATTCTTTGTAATTAGGAATGGAAGCGAACATCACAGCCACACTACGGTAACATTCGTGGTAAAGATCCTGTACAAAAAATAACAGAAAAAAAACTGTCGTGTTTTACCTTTGATATTTTACTGTTAATAAGGAAGTAACAGAAGAAAGAACTGTTATGTTTTACCTCTGATATTTTACTGTTAATCAGGAAGTAATAGAAGAAAGAACTGTTATGTTTTACCTCTGATATTTTACTGTTAATAAGGTAGTAATAGAAGAAAGAACTGTTATGTTTTACCTCTGATATTTTACTGTTAATAAGGAAGTAATAGAAGTAAGAACCGTCATGTTTTA